TTTAATTTTTATCATGACATTATGGAAAATAATGAACTTTATCACAATATTCTAATTTTATGACCAGCACCTGTATATTCAAACTCATTTCCCGTCGTTTCTCCTTCTCTCCACAGCGAAGCGACTAAAGAAAGGCATGGCGACGGCCAAACAGAGACTGGGAAAGATCCTAAAGATCCATCGAAACGGAAAGCTCCTCCTGTAGCACGCAGCAGCAGGCCGTTGATGGACTGGGCCGGTTGACCGACTGGGCCCCGTCCCAGACTCGCAACCTGCTCGCTGACAAAAAGCCAACAAGAGGAGAATTAGGAAAAAAAGAAACAAAAAAACTGAAAAGACGCGGGAGCGGAGGAAAATCATGCATTTTTCAATTTCTAAGAAGAACATCACTCAGATAGGTTTTTGCCTCTACTTATACTTTATAACTTTCAGATATTAAAGTGTACAGAAGCTATTATAAATATTTTTTAAGAGAACATGTCTCATTTTACTACAGCTGTCATTTTATCAGGGGTTGCTCAATAGAAGTACGTTGCAGTCATTCCAAGATTTGCGAAAGTATCCCCTGCATGTGTATGAGTTGCATGCGTGCTTTAGGTCGGGGTCGGCGGGGTAGAAGGGTTTCGGGGGGATGCTAGGGTGGGGGGGGGGCTCCTACCCACGGATGCAGCTTATCATTGTCAGACTGAGACAGAATCTTCCTGGAGTGTCGGATCGGATCAGATCAGCACCAACCCCAAGCAGCATTTATGCCTTCACGTCCACACTTAACGTTCGCAGAGCACTATCAGCGCCGCCACTTATTTATTCTAGTTCGAGTCGTTAGATAGGAAAACGGAAAAAAAACGACTGTAAAGCACAAAGCACACCGAGTCCGGACGTTTCTCCAACGTGAACGTAGGACGACGCACATCGGCGGACCGGACCGGACCAGGGGAACCAGGGAGTGGGGGGAGGGGGGGAAACGGAGGAGCAGGGACGCGATGCGGGAACACGACGATAAGCCTCATCCCTGACAGAGACGCAGTCACACGGGGATACTTTCTCTCTTCCTTTGCTTCCACAGGCAGCACAGCACACTTCCCACTTGTTTCTGTGTGTGTGTTTTTTTTTTTTTTTTTTAAGGCCCCACTCTATAAAATTTAGCTTTGTACATAGCCTTTTAACTTTTTGTATCTTTTTTTTTTGCCTCCCACTTAATTCTACATTTTAACTTTTTTTTTTTTTTTTATAATTTAATTTGAAAAGTATCTATGTGTGTATATGAATTTCAGATATTGCCCTCCTTCTCCGTCTCTCCGGTCATCAGTGCTGCCTTGGGAAACAACAGAAAGAATTAGTCAACATGTTTATTGTCATATGGCCTTACATACACAAAGCTAACTGTATTGTGATTCTGTTTGAGCGAGAAGTGAAGCTTTGAGGAGAAAAAACTGTAGAAAAGAGAAAAAACAAACAAAAAAACCCCCACAAAGTTTCTATGACCAGCCACTTGTCCGACTTCTAGTATCCTGAAGGTTTCAGAATTATTTTACTAGCACCTTGTGAAGTGTTTCTGTGTCAGTGATGTAATTTATTAATGTTTGTAGCTTTTTTATACTTGTACAATTCTTAAGAGGTTTTGCTTTTGGATATATATCATCAAAGTTGTGAAACGACCCTTTAATTTTTAAATTTTTTTCCTCCATGTTGGGGTGCGTGTCGGAGGCGTCGCACTTAGAGCTCGCCGGTCGCCCTCCGCCCCGTCCCATCAGACGTGTGTAACGTGTTCCTGCAGCGGCGTCCATCGCGTCTCCACCGGGACATTCTCTCCTCTCGTCCTCTCAGCAATTACTTATTTTTTTGTTTTCCTTTCAGGTTTTTAATTTGTACAGTACATGTGTTGCTTTGTCGTGATTTATTTTTGTATGTCTGACTCATTAAATGCATCCACTGTGCCCCAGCAGTGAATCATACTTGTTCTTACTGTCTTCCTTGCTGTTTCACCTTAGTAATGTTACAGATGTTTTTGTTTTGTTTTTTTTACTTGAAGTTTTTTGTATTTTGATATTTTCTGTTTGATTTTGGTGCTTCCCAAGACGTGGAATATTTTCAAACTCCAGGAACTTACAGACATGTTGCTGAGTGACATTGTTGCCACTTGGTGACATGTCATTCTCCCATACGACTAGCGGGTCACCGATTGCAGTTTTCTGGATAATCGATGATTACCGATCTTTAAAAAGCCTGACCTGCCGATTCCGATTTTGGCCGATACCGATTTTTTTTTTTTTTTTTTGTCTGAAATGCCATTAAATGTAGCAAGAAAGTTGGCAACAGTGGGGCGACTACTGATAACTGCCAACCTGCAGATATGACCTGGTGAGCCGATCTGTCAGTCAGACCTCTAATGAGAGAACAGAAGAGGACAAAGTTCATTTTTAGACCTTTGTTGAGGCAGATAAGATCGGCTTCACATGTATCGACCGATCTCCCAAAATTAAGGAAATTGTCATCGATGAATCGGTGCACCCCTCGTTCAGAGGTCAGATCTGTTGCCTGATCAGAGGAACCGTTTTCTCCAATGTCGTGGTCGGATGCTAAGTATTCCCAGAGTTAAGTTGAAGAGTTTTTGTCTTCTTTGCCAGATACTTGAGAGAATTGTTGAAGGAACAGCTGGATGTCATCTGCATAAAAGTTAAGGAGATATTCTGAAAATATTCCAAGTGGGCTCGGAAGACAGCCATGAGTTCCCTCACGTGTTAGACCACTTGGAGTCTGACATGTGGTGGTTTATAAAAGAGTCTCTAACTCGTAATGAAATCACCAAAATAAATGACTTGAGGCTCGACTCTGACTTAGGATCAAATTCTTGAGATTTGACTTGGATTTAAGAAAAAGTCACTTTTAAATCTGGTTTGCATGGAACCTGAAAGCTTTGAAAATGGTTCCAAAGATCTCGACTAAACTATACAATATGCTGATTAAGACAGTGGACTGACAATGTCAAAGGCTTCTAAAATACCTAACGAGACTCAAACAGTAACTTTCACAGTGATTGCAGCCGTCATGGTGTCACTGGGTCCTTTAAGCAAAGTTGAAGGAATCTGTTGAATGCATTTTATGAAAACCAGATTGGTATTTACCAAACATTTGCATTGATCTTGAAGAAATTAGGAGGGTTTTCTTTGTAATATGTTTTTAAATAGCTGTAACTTAGAAACAGGCCTGTAATTAATTAGCTGAGAGGAGTCCAAGATGTTTTTCTTAATACCAGGTTTGATGACATCATATTGTCACCTTCCTAAAATAATACCCTAAATCACTACTTGATGAAAAAATAGGGAGGTGGTGATATTTAAACAGGAAGGAGAGACAACCGGTTCATCTTGGTCAGCAGAAATCAGCTAAGATAACAGAACTATGAAGCTCTTCAAGTCTGGTTTGTCCCCGAGTCCTATTTCCAGATGTCTGAAGGTCGTGGCTACAGGCAGGGATGAGCAGCATGGGAATGTCCAGCCATCATACTGTCCAGGAACGAGACGGGCTCTGTGTGCTGGAGACGAACAGGTTTTGATGTGAAATGTCTAAATCAACAACAGAACAAAAGATGAAGACCTTCTGAAGATGCCAGCTGGAAATGAAAAGACGGAGTCGTTATCCAAAGTGAAACATGTCCTGTACCGACGAGGGGTGAAAGGTCACTCAGGGAGGAAGAAGGTGTTCTCCTACAGCGTAACGTAGATTGTGAGTGGATTCAGAGACTCACCTTGTGCTGTTGAGGTCGTGTTCTGATTAAATGTTAGTTTGGCAGTAAGTTACACTGAGCGGGAAAACAAGGGAAGTTTGTAACCCTGGCAACACCATCCCACCTGTGAAGGGCAAAGTTCCAGTAAACTGTGAGAAGCTTGTGGCAGAAACCAGAGTTGGGTAATAACTAGTTACATTTACTCAATTACATTTACTTGATTAGCCTTTTTGTGGGGAAAAAAGTATTTTTAGGGGTATTTTTACAGTGCTGTATTTTTACTTGAGAAATTTTATCATGAAGTATCGATACTCTCCTTGAGTGAAATTTCTGGATTCTCTACCCACTGAAGGAAGAACAAACATGTTTTAACCAAAAATTCTGTTTGTTTGTTTTTTATTTCAAAAAATTGATTTGGAAAAATTTTATTTTCCCTGATTTTTTTATTTTTTGTTATATGAATTATTGTCATTTTGGTCCTTAAAATACCAGAATTTCCACTTAACTTTATATTTCCGTCCATCTGCTGATGTAATTAACTTTGAATGATTGATAATTTGATCAGTTATTAAGTACTTGAGTAAATAGAAATAATTTTGAAGGAGCTACATCAGGAAAGCTCTCATCTAATGTAACATCAGAGTGCAAAAAAATATGATTGTGTCCTTTTATGCACTGTATAAATAAATAGTTTCAGCTCTCTATATATATATGGTAGTTGCAAAACAAAACTGTAACCCTATTAGGCAAATGTCTGTTATGGCGCATCACCTAAGAATTTCTCAAGCTATTGGCCTAATTCAATCATGAATTCAGACAGGCAGAACTCTCGGCCACTAGATGGAGCCCAAGAAATATTTGAGCAGAGCCTGCTAAAAGCATAAGTAAACCACTTTGAGCACTGCAGCTCAATCACGTTATTAAAGAGGTGTTTGCAGTTTCATTGTGGAAAGAAAAAAAAAAGTTACCTGGGTGTGTGTTAATCTGAGGTATTTTCAATATTTCTCAATTTAAAAAACAATGAGAAACAACTACTGTCTCAAAAATCTCAAAACAGATCCTGAATAGAACAAAAGCTCTATTTTATTGAATGACTGTAAAATCATAACCCACCATCCAGACTGTATCTGTGCAAAAGTAAATTAAAAAAAGACAAAGCTTAGTCCTTTTTTTTTTCAAAGTAAAAATCTTTCCTAAATATAAAACCAGCTCACAGCCTCGTTGTGTTTTCACCCCTCTAACACTTTTAAAAGACATTCTGATCGTTATATTTCCTTCATGATCACATCCAGGTTTTAATCTCTGGGATGGAAGAAAAAGTTTTAGCAGCAGATGTTGAAATAACTTCGTGGAATGGAAGAAAATTAGGAACAGCACAACGACTCAAATTTGAGTCTCCAACCTAAATAAGTCAATTAACTCCCCATTTGTGTAATTTAAGATGCATTACACTAATAGGGAAGTTATTTCTTGCATTCATCACGGTGCTGCCTTTTAATTCCACACTAATAACACATCTGGACACAGTTGATGGCGCAAAAATAAAGCAGGCGGTGATCTTCATGGGAATTTATATTTCCC